CCCCTTCTACCTGATAACCTGCCAGATGGGGTCCCCGTCCCTTCTGCCTGACAAACCTTCCACAATCTCCCAGATGCAGCCCAGTGTCTGCATTTCAAACACCCTGCTCGGATCCCCATTCTCCAGGGGGTCCTGCTCACCCTTCCTCTGAACCCAGGATGGCACCAGCTAGGCTTCCTCCTGTCTGATACCTTCAAGGGAAAACTCAGATAGGAGATTCTTAATATCTACATCCATAAAATCCTTTGTTTCAGTAGGAGATGTGTGAAGACAGAGACCCATCTCCTTAAACACCCCTGGCCTCAACCAGGCTGCGCTCAGCCCTCTGCCTCTCTGCTGAGCCTCCCGCCTGGCCTGCCCAGTTGTAACCTCTCCCCTCCCCCAAGTCCGAGCGACTGGGTGCTCCCAGGTCCTGTCTGGAGAGGTACCCATCCGTCCTTACGGATGTCCCTTCCCTAATAAACCTTGCTATGTTACCTCCCACCACTCTCTGTCTCACGCCTGAATTCTTTCTTGCGCGAAGACAAGAACCCTGCCATTCTCCAGTAACATCTGCTGTGGCCTGGGAAAGCGGTAGAAGATGGCCCAAGTCTTTGGGCCCCTGCACCCACGTGGGAGACCTGGAAGAAGCTCCTGGCTTTGGATCAGCGCAGCTCTGGCTGTTGTGGCCAATTGGGGAGTGAACCAGCAGATGGAAGACCTCTCTCTCTGCCTCTGCTTCTCTCTCTGTGTAACTCTTTCAAATAAATAAATAAATCTTTGGAGGAGGAGGAGGAGAAGTGCAGCAGCAGCCGGGACTTGAACTGGTGCTCTGACGTGGGATGCCAGTATCACAGGTGGTGACTTAACCCACAGTGCCCCAATGCCAGCCCCAAACGGATGGCTTTGACCACACAGGAGGATCCCCCAGAGACCTTGTCAACACCTAGACTTCTGGATTCATCCCGGACTGTTATTTTTTAAAGATTTATTTATTTATTTTAAAAGAATTATCGAGAAAGAGAGAGAATGAGATATTTTTCATTCACTGGTTCACTCCCTAAATGGCTGCAATATCCAGGCTGGGCCAGGGCAAAGCCAGGAGCCAGGAGCTTCAACCAGGCTCCCATATGGGCCATCTTCTACTGCTTTCCCCGGACATCAGCAGGGAGCTGGATCCGAAGTGGAGCAGCCAGGACTTGAACCCCTACCTATATGGGATACCAGCGATGCGGATGTATTTACCCGTTGCACCACAGCGCTGGCCCCCATCCTGGAGATGGTTTCAGGATGGGGCGGGGCCTGAGAATGTGCATTCGCACCCCCAGGTGTCACTGGGGCTGCTGTTACTGGTCTGGGGCGGGGAGGGCTACACGCTGAGAGCCTGTGCATCACGTGGCTGTGGAGAAACGAAAGCAAGGCTGCAAGGAACAGCAGTGCTTCCTGCCGCAGCTGCGCACGGCGCACCTGCCTGAGCCCACCTGGGCTCTCGGGCGAGGGGCAATCATCGGTGGCAGGTATACAGCCCCTTGCCATTGGAAACACCTGTGCAAGCGCCGGGGCCTGCACACACATCCGGGCCTTTAAGAAGGCAGGTGTCAAGGTTCGGAGGAGCATGGTTTGCAAAAGATGTGGCTTCTCGTGGGGGTGAGAACCACTCTTAGGAAGGGGCTGTGCTGGGGGGCGGAGGTGTGAGAATCGCCACTAAGCCCTGACCCCACGTGTGTGCACCGAAGCCTGGTAGTGAACCGAGACACTTCCTGGGCCCCTGGGAAAGACAAGGAAGCTTCAGCGGTGGGTCTGGGGCATCTTAGCCCCGCGGTGGCCTGGGCTCCAGCCCAGCCGGCAGCCTCTCCCAGGGTTCGCCCTATCGCTGTATAGGAAGCCTCTTCTCTGAGATCTCGGAGTGCCTCTTTCTCCAGCCGCCGGAACGGCGACGGGCGTGAATCAGAATGTGTGTGCTTCCTGCTGTAACTTTCCCAGAAGCCGCCGGCTACGGCTACCTAGCGAGGGAGAACGGTTTGATGGCTCGTCGCCTGTGGCTCTGCGTGCTTCCCCTCCCTACGATTACCTAGCGAGGAAAGAATGTCCTTTCATTTATTTTTTTCCTAGTCTGAGTATTCTCATACGAGATAAACAGCCTGCTTCTCTACCCAGCACCAAGCCAGAAGAGGTTATAAGCAAGCAAGCCTGCTAAGAAGTTAGTTGTGGGCGCCAATCGACGCAATGCAGATGAATCCTATTTTCGCCAGCCGATAGAGCCCTGAGAGCAGGCTGCCTACGGCGCTCCCGTCTGCCCCCACCCCAAACCTCACTACTCCTTCCCTCCCAACCCATCTCCCCTTCTCCTGGCTCCCCTTCTGATCTTGCTAGGCACCCGTTCTCCACGCCCTTGCCCAAACCCAGACCCCAGGGCTTCCCTGACAGCCCACAGAATCAAGGCCTAACTCCTCCTCAAGGGGGCGCCACTGAGCCTCAGCCCCGTGCAACCCGCCTGTCCTGCCGCAGCCTCACAGCTCAGCCCCTTCCTCCTGCTGCTTCTCCAGGCACCGCCTGCCCCCAGGTGCTCTCTCGCCCACGCATTCCTCAGCACACACTAGGTCCCTCCTCCGGCCCCGGGTGACAGACAGTCTTCGTAAGAAGGAAGCCATCAGCTGCCGTTTGCTAAGAACTTTGTGCGCCCGGCACCGCCCTCGGGTAAGAAAGGCCTCATTTAATCCGCACAGCGACGACGAGATTTCCACAGCAATGAGACCGAGACCCGAAGAAGCAAAGTCGGCTTTTGCCCAAGATCAGGCTGCACAGTCGCTGGGAGAGACAGAGGAGCGGGGGTAGGTACGGTGGAGGAGGCGTGAACCTGCAGCTGGGGGCCAGGAGGCGCCAACCATTCATTCATTCATTCATTCAGCAAGGGGCTGTGCAGCACCTGTTAGCTGCAGGCATTCTTCTAGGTGCTGGGAGAGCGTGAAAGAGGGCTCCCTCCTGGATCCTACATCCTAGTGGAGGGAAGTGAATGAGAGAGAGAGAGAGAGAG